TTTTGATGGTCTTAGTGATTAAATATTATGTTGTCTATAAATTGGGTTTTATTTCCACTTTGGAAGAAGGGCATTACAGTTGAAGTGTGTGGTGAAGGTAAGAAACGTTTAATGAAAAGGAGTCACTGGGTCTGGTAGAGTTGAGGACCTGTGGCTTGGCCTTGCTTCCAGAATGTGTTACTATGGCTGTTCAAGGGAATTCGAAGTATTCCAAAGAACCTCACAGAGATCTTATGATGTACCCCCAGAACGGGAGAGCCTTATGCTGGCTCTTCTTTGTGGACGTCCCATCATGCAAGGCCTTGTAGAAACAGACCAGATGTAATATAGGAACTTCTGATCTGCAACTAGGGGACCAGATATTGTCACCCACATTTCTGTTGAGTAGGTATGGTCTTAATTACTTTTCTCTTGCAGTGAAGAGACACCGTGATCAAGGTGACTTAGAAAAGAAAGACTGTATTGAGTTCTGAGAGCTTTAGAGTGTGTTTATGACCGCCATGACGGAGAGCATGCAGTAGGAAACAGTAGCTGAGAGCTTACATCTTGAGATATAACCAGAAGACATAAAGGGAAGGAGGGTGGGAAGAAATGAGAGAGAGAGAGAGAGACAGACAAATAGACAGACAGACAGACACACACCTTCTCTAGTAAGGCCACACCACTTTGCCAAATAGTTCTACTAACTGGGCACCAAACATTCAGATATATGAGCCTACTGAGGCCATTCCAGCTAGGTAGAGTACAGAGGCAGCTGAGCAGGAGTTCTGAAACCAACTGTGACTTGGTCATGAACCGTGAGATTATACTGTGTTCACAGTCTTGGTGGCTGTTGATGGACAGTCACACAGTAGGAGGGAGGAACAGTAAGGGTAACCTTGGAGACATTGAAGTTCAGGAGGAACTGAGGTGACCCAAGTTGGATTCTATCTGCTTTCTAAATTTGCCTCGAGTAAGGCCTCAGCAGGGACGGTGGAGTAAAACCTTCCCTGGAACACGCTCCCCAGGCTCAATCGTATTAGGTTTGTGGCCATGTGCCTAGTTAAACATTCAGGCCCCCAACATGGTGCAGTGGTGTGTCGAAATATGTGTGTCCCTTGTAATGGGCGTGAAAGGTCAGTGAGCTCAGGTGTTTGTATCTCGATCTATTTTTAGAAATCAAATAGTAAAATTTAGCGTATGTAACAAAGAGGAAAATATGGTATATTTCACAAGTGTTCACAACAAAAACATCTTTGAGGATATCGTGTCAAACTGAAGCTATATAGATACAAATTCTGAATTATGCTAAGAATCTTTGAAATCTATCTGCTCTATGTCTACGACTCTTTTGCCTGCATGTATGTCTATATACCACGTGTGTGCCTGGTTCTCATTAAGGTCAGGAAAGGGTGTCAGATCCCCTGGAACTGGAGTCACAGTCAGTTGTGAGCCATCATGTAGGCACTGGAAATTATATTTGGCTCCTCTGGAGGAGTAGTCAGTGCTCTTAACCTCTGAGCCATCACTCCAGCCCCTAAATTACATTTTAAAACCAAATTTTCATCTCATTTAAGTTTTTCTGAAGCTGTTCCAGTGTTTCCAGTACTTCCAGTTTCTGTTTCTTAGGTTTTCTGCCATTCTGCATGAATCTGCTGTGTCTATTTCTGAAGTGGCTGTATAGGGAAATTTCTACCTTGTAGTATTGGCCCTTGAATGCTATCCATAACAAGAATTTATATTTTTAATGGTTTCATATCTAGTTACACTTCTTTTTTTTGTTTTTGTTTTTCGAGTCAGGGTTTCTCTGTGTAGCCCTGGCTGTCCTGGAACTCACTCTGTAGACCAGGCTGGCCTTGAACTCTCGAACTCAGAAATCCGCCTGCCTCTGCCTCCCAAGTGCTGGCATTAAAGGCATGCGCCACCACTGCCCAGCCTAGTTACACTTCTTATCTACCCATCCTATGCTTTCATTTTTAACTACCTGGAGGCTGTTGAGTAATGGTAAGAGTGGAGCCTTGCTGTTTGTAATGGCAGCTGACAGCCCTATACAGCTACTTAAAATTTAAATTGCATTAAACAACACAACAACAAATCCAGATTCTCTATCATATTTGCCTTGTTTGATGCCGCCTTGGCATACGGTTAGAGGCCCCTGAGCTAGACAACGCAGGAGTTGGCCCCATCCAGCCCACTGGCCTCCCCACACATCATCTGTTCCTTTCATCAAGCTCAGGTCCTTGAAGAAAAGTCCACTTCACTTCTGGGACCCTGTAGAAGTTCCTCCTCTCGATCCAGAACTTAGCCCAGCTCCATGCTGCTAAAGTGTTGGGACCCTTTTATCAGCAGTACTTCGGCACTTGTTTCCACCTGGCAGAGACTTACCTCTGACCTTTGGTCAGGTCTTGTAGGTGTTTCTGTAGCTGTTCCTCATTTCTCATTGATAGCAGATGCAGGCACATTAGCCTCAACTGACAGCAAACAGTTATGAGCACAAGCTCTCTCTGCCTGAATCCTCTTCTAGGTCTTATATTGTGCTGGCCTGAAGCTATGTATCCCAGACAAGTCTCACAGGGGTATTTTGTATATTTTAATCCTATTATCATACATTGTGTTTGAGATGGTTTCATGAGTCCACCTGCCTCAACTCCCACATGCTAGGGTTACAGGTGTGGACCTTCACACTTGGCATCAGGAGGTTAGAGTTGATGTCTGCTAATGCTACAAGTTTTTTTTTTTTTTTCCTTTCAAATTGTGGAACGTTTATTCAATGAGAAACCTCACAGTATTGAAAATTGGTGAATCTCATATATCAATATGATCAAATCTCAAAGAGAACTTCTAGAAAGAGTACTCGTAAGGGAATGTCATCCATATGAATTAGTAGTAGTGCATGTGTGTGTGTGTGTGTGTGTGTGTGTGTGTGTGTGCGCGCGCGCAGCCATGTAGAGGTCAGAGGACAACTTTCGAGAGTAATTTCTCTCCCCCTTCCGTGATTTCTGAGATGGATTCTGGTCACCTCCCCACCTGTTTCCTTGAGTTTTAAAGGGTACATTAGTGCTGCTTATTGTTTAAGGGTGTGTACTTAGTAAGAGCCTGGGGAACAGGTGCTTGAATGGTGTGATGGTTTCTCTGTCTTAGGTCAGTTGAATCACAACTCTTCAGTATATTTTTTCTGACACATTTTCTTGGTCTAAAATATTTTGTAACAAATTCAGATTTTCATCTTCCTCCTCCCTCTTTCCTTCTCCAGGTTCTCTATTGTGCTGGCCTGAAGCTCTGTAGCCCAGGCAGATCCCTCCCTTTCCCTCCCTTTCTTCTGAGATAGTCTTGTGAGGCTGGTCTGGTCTGAAACTCCACTTCACAGCCAAGGGGGACCTTCAGCTTCCCATCTGTAAGGCTGGGGTGCTGGGATCGCAGACATAAGCCACCACGTGGAGCTCGTGCTCTTTTAAAACATACAAAATTACAAAATATGTAATAATACAGAAAATGAACATTCCCTGTCATCCTGGGGTCATGTTATGTCTTGGTGTACACTGTGGTTTGCTTTAACAAAGCCAAGCATAGTTAAGTACAGTCTGCTTTCCTGTGGCACTAACTTCTCTGAGTACTGTGTCATCTCAGGGGCAAGCACCTCTCCTCTTCTGGAACCTTCCTTCTTAGACTTCTACCTGTTTCCTCCTCTCACCGCAGATGTTTCCCCAAGGTCTGCAGTGAAGTTTAGTAGCCATGTGGTCAGGGGGCCTCTGAGAATTTCTCCAGCCCCTTCTCTTGAGTGAGGTCTGTCCTTGTTGGTGTTTTCTGTGAGCTGTGTCTGTGTTAGGTGCCCTCTGCCTGTCCTGTAGAAGTGCACTCACCCCCACCCCACCCCCGCTTTTGATTTCAGCTTGTGCATGAGTCTGCAGCATAGCTGTGATTTTTCTGAATGTGTCCCTGACAGTCCTACTGTGCCATAGGAAAGCGAGTCCCCACACCCTGACTTCCCTCAGACCAGAGGATCAGCTTCATATGTGCACAAGCAGTGTTTAGGAGGTTTAAATCTTGGATACCAAACAGTCTATCACATGGACAGTTTTGATTCTCCTGAAAATAGAAAATGAGAGACTGCTGCTCCTGCACAGATGAAATCAGAGATCTTGGAGGTGCTTACAAGGAACAGGGTTTGGAGCAAGGCCAGTAGCTATGATCCCTGCTACTGGGTAGGCTCGGCAGGAGGAATGCCACTCCGAGGCTTCAACTACAGAGTGAGTTCAAAGGCAGCCTTTGTAACTCAGTAAGATATTGTCAAAAACAGTATAATGAAGGACAGAGGTAGCTCAGCTATAGTCTGGGTCAGTCTAATCCACAGAACTCAAATAACAAACAAAGGGTTGGGGACTTGACTCTGCCATGCACCCCATAAACAAGGAAATGTAGTCTGAAAAACTGCTTCAGACACTGGAGCAGCGCTGACACAGAATGCTCATTGAGAGAAAGAGTAACAGGCTGGAAAGATGGCTCAGTAGTTAAGAGTACTGGCTGCTCTTCCAGAAGACCTGGATTCAATTCCCAGCACCTACAAAGTGGTTCATTACGATCATTACTCCAGTCCCAGGGGATTCAGCACCCTCCTCTGGGCTGTGCAGGTACCAGGTACACCCACATGGTACACAGATATACTTGCAGACAAAATATCCAAACACACACACACACACACACACACACACAGAGAGAGAGAGAGAGAGAGAGAGAGAGAGAGAGAGAGAGAGAGAAACAGACAGACAGACAGAGACACCCTGATGATTTTTAAAGTGGGAAATTTGCACCAGGCCTGTCCCTTTAACTGCAGTGTAATTTAGAAGAAAGCCAGAAACTCAAATAGACATTCTACAAAGCAACCAATGCTGAAGCCTTGAGTGGCTACTGAAAGGGTTAATCAAGTTCTTAAGAATCCTGTTATCCCTTTATATTACTTGAAGCTAGAGAATAGATTGGTACCTGTGGTCTGTGGATCTGTGCACCATCCTTCCCAGCTGAAGATGTTCCTCAGAGGTGTGGATGCAGGTGCCACAGCCCACGAGTCAGCAGAAATGTCCTTGCCCACGGACATACGCCTGGGTGAGGAAGAGCCAGCATCAGAACTCCTGCCTTTGGCCACATGTTGGGAGCACTGTGAGACTGTGGTGCCCACATGCTGTGAAGGAGCTGTGTTAGCAGCCTAACACCCCAGCTGGGTGTTGGCCCAACCTTTCTGGCTACACTATAAATGTGAGAGTTACAAATCTGGTGATTCTTAGCGATATCTTGTGAAGGTCAAGTTTTGTTTTGTGAGTTTAATCTCTCGCAGACTTTGAATTCTTGCCATGTAGAATTTTCGGTTCTTCAAGGTTACTTAGCATGATTTCTTATTTATGTGTTTTCTTCCCTAGCTCTACGACAGTATCTGTTTCTAAGTCCCTTTTAGGACACAGGGTTCCCCCTTTATTTGATACCCATGCTTTGCTCTGAATGCTCAAACCATGCATACTTCTTCCTGGCTTTATTTCTTCTTGAAATGTTAGAGCTTCCACATCTTGTCGAGGTTCACTTAGTTTTATTTCTTTTTGCTTTTAAAACATCTTTGATTTGTTGAAGAGTAATTCTCTAAAGTCTACAGTTCCATGATTTCTAGTGTATTGAAGAGTTGTGTAACCATTACAACTGTGTTTGACAGGTCCATCCATCGTGCCACAGAGGAAACCTCTGTCTGTTGGAAGTTCATAGCTGCTTCTGGTCTTTTAAGCCCCACTGTCTCCTAGTCCTCCACAGTAGTCAGCCTGGGCCTCTACTTCCCCTTTGTGCTTGTTTAACTCATTGTTAAAATGCCCTCAGCCAACACCAGGCTGCTTTCTGTCTCTTCCAGTTTCCCCACTGTGGAGGACATTTCACTGAAATGGAACCATTCGTGAGTGACCTTTTGAAACTGGCTTTTTTTTTCACTGAGGAACTTGTGTTTGTTTTTTTGTTGTTGTTGTTTTTTCTTTTTTCAAGATATTTTCCTATTTGATTTTCCACATTATTTACCTGTTTCATATTCTCAGATTTACTTATTTATTTGCAGTGTTAGTCTAGAAAACAGCCTTGAGCAGGGTAAACAAACATCATACCACTGAGCCTCACCTGCTTCTTCAATTTTAATTTCTTTTCTTTCTGGAATCACTTTTCCATGTGTCTGTTCCATACTTAAACCCCTGGGAACAGAAGCAGACTCGGATACCTTTGCTGCTGCACAGGGAAACTTGGTACCTCTGAGACACCATAGTTGTCTTTTTTTTCCCAGCTCCTGGCATTGCCCCTAAGCAGGACCGGATGAGCAGCGTTGTCTGGCCCATTGAGCCCTGTGTTCCAGAGTAGTTACCCTGGGCCTCCACTTCTCTTCTCTTACCCGCTCATTTTAAAAGCTTTAATGACACCTGAGCATATTGCCGGCAGAAGCCTGGGACCCATGGATCCCCTCCTCTTGGGGATTGTGTTAAGCTTTCACTTCCTGTCCTCCCCCCCTCACTAGCTGCCACTCTCCTTGTTTCCTTAGTTCTTCTGAGTTAGTCCCCAGCTGCCATGTGATGCCCACAGCAGTCCTACGAAGTACCATCACTACCATGTTGCAGAATTTTCATTTTAAGGATGAGGGAACTAAGGCCAGTGGTTTTGTTTGACTCGGTTTCCATAGCTGCAGCAGCTTCTTTCTGTGTTTTAGTCCTCAGCCCAGGTCCTGATGCTTACCGAGGACTCAGTGTGGATTGGGTTTGCTGGCTGAGTGAGTGAGCATGTGAAGGCGTGAGCATATGAACCCTGCAGGCTGCTGGGAGTGTGCACATGAACCCTGCAGGCTGCTGGGAGTGTGCGCAGCATGCTCTTCCAGAGTTGCTGGTCCTGCAACTTGGGTGAAGACCACCATAGCTGAAGGTTGATTTTATTATTTGGATTTAATTTTTTTTACAGATAAAATCTCACCAGTATACACATACTATTTGATGAAACCTGTGATTATCATCAAGTAGTGAGCCAGCAAATCAGTTTCTACAGCCATTTGTCTTACATAGGAGTAGAAGAATTTGATCTATATAGAATTTTTTATTGTTAAAAGATGAAAATATTTTTAACCAAGCTTTTGCTCTTAAGCAGAAACATTAAAAATAAAGTTTTTTTAATAGATATTGGTGTTTTAATAGGTTGAGTACTTTTAATTATTTTCCTTATTGACCAATTGAACTTTAGGGTTTTTTTTAGATTTATTTATTTATTTATTATATGTAAGTACACTGTAGCTGTCTTCAGACACCCATATGAGGGTATCAGATCTCACTACAGATGGTTGTGAGCCACCATGTGGTTGCTGGGATTTGAACTCATGACCTCTAGAAGAGCAGTCAGTGCTTTTAACCGCTGAGCCATCTCACCAGCCCCTGAACTTTAGTTTAAAAATAATTTTTATTTTCTTGACCATTTCAAATACACAGGACAAAGGGAAGAGACATTAGGATGTTTACGAGCCAGCCTAAGCTCATTGCTTCTCTTGTGTTTATTGTTTTAAATCATTAGTGAGGTCAGCTTCCAGGCATTTGTTGTGTTGTACTTTAACCCCCAAGTCACATCTTAAGCACTCTTTCCTGGCTTTTTAAATTTTTTTCTTTTCTAGAGCAATGACTATTAAGTCCTTAGAGTCCTGGTGACTGAGGAATTCTCACTCCCAAGCAAGCACCCACTGAGAAGGACACAGTAGAAGACTGTCTAACCCTTTCTCTAAACTGAACTTTGTCATTTATTCATACACCCAGTCACTAAAACTGATCATCAGTGTGTACAAAACAGACTTTTTGTCCTCAAAGAATTGATGATACACAGTCATCCCCTGGTATCATCAGGGAATTGGTTTAAGGATTCCCTGTGGACACCAAAATATAAAAATGTTCATGTCCCTTATGTAAAATGTCATATTTTCATATAATCTATATAAATTGTTCTGTATACCTTATATTATCTCTAGATTACTCATAACACCCAGTATAGTGTAAATGCTATGTAAATGTTTGATACAGAAAATTATATAAGCAATAGACAAGGAAAATATCTGTGTATGTTCAATTCAGACACATCTTGTTTTGTTTTGCATGTATGTATATGTGATATGCATGTGTATACATACATACGTGTTTGCATGTGTGTATGTGTTCTCATACGTGAGTAAATCTGTGTGCATGCACAGGAAGGCCTGAAGTTGATTCGAGATGTCTCCTTCCATAGCCTCCCACTTTATTTATTGAGGCAGTTGAACCCAGAACCATCAATCAGCTAGACTAGTTAGCTGGCTTGTTCTGGGGAGCCCATCTCTGCCTCCCAAGTGCCAGAATTATAGGCAGCTGCCACCGCTCCCTCACGTTACGTAGATTTTGAGCATCTGGACTCCAGTCCTAATGCAGCATTTTATCCACCGAGCCATCTCTCCAGGTCCCCAGATACAATTTTCTGAAAAAAATATTTTTGAACCACAGTTGAATTCATAGATGAAGAATCCACAGGTGAGAAGGGCAGACTAAAGAATACTTGAGGGATGGAGAGGTGCTCCATGGGCAAGAGAGCTAGCTGTTACACCGTGGGAGTCAGAGTTCAGATCCCTAGCACCCACATAATAAGTAAGCTAAGTGTGGCCGTAATCCCAGTGCTGTGGGGGCTCAGCCCGAGTGGGGTGGGTGGAGGTAGGATTGCCAGTGTTTGCCTTAGATCTAGTGTCAATGGTAGACCTGGTCTTGAGAGAATAGATGGAGGGAGATAGAACAGGATTCCCAGTGTCCTCTTCTGGCCTCTCTGTGTATGGAGCACACATACACACGCTCAAGGAAAGCTGGGTCTAGAATCCTAGCTACTTAGGAGGCTGAGGCAAGAGGATCAAATAGTCAGGGCCAGCCTGAGCTACCAAGTGAGACTGAATCCAGACTAAGCAACTTAGTAAGACCTCAATTTTAAAACCTGAGAGAGAGAGAGAGAGAGAGAGAGAGAGAGAGAGAGAGAGAGAGAGATCTTCTAAAACCCCATCTCTCCCCAAGGATCTGTAGGCAGTTAATGGTTCCTGGGAGAGGGAGAGAAGGTTCCTTTGTTTGTGTGTAGGCACCGGTAAGTTGTCAAGCTTCTATAAATAACTCCTTACTTGTGGTCTTGAAGGAACCCTAATTAAACTCACTGGGCTACCAAAAATCCATACAATAAAATAAAAGATACAAGGAGTCAGCAAGAATGGGAACTTAAGAAGAAGAGAGGGTGATGGTGGTAAATATATCAAAATACATTATGTATTCTGTATGTATTCTGTATGTATGTATTAAAGCGTCATAACAGAACCTGCCTACTGTGCACTGGGTCCGGGGTACTGTCTCCAGTGTGGAAGGGAGGGAGGAAAATATTCAAGGAGGTGAGCTGTGAGAGCCCTGTACATGAATTCTTTCACTAGGTGGGAACACAGTAGGAAGCACCCCCGTCTCTGCAGCCCTGTGAAATGAAGCTGGTAAAAGATAGAGGTGCTGCTGAGGTAAAAAAATGAATTACCAAGAACGCTCTCAGGAAATGACAGTAATTATTCTCCTGTGTATGCAAGTTTAACAAGATAAATGCTTTGTCTGCCTGATTTTGGCCTTTTAACCCAGATGAGTTCTTCTAGTCCTGTCAGAAGGCAGGGTCTGTGAGGGTGGTTACCCCGAAATGTTAGCACTCAGGCAAGGCACGCCCAGGGCCTCTTTTGCACAGTGGTGCACCTTACGGGATGCTCAACCTACCTTTCTAGTTTGATGCTGGCGCCCCTTTAGTGTGGGCAGCAAGATTTACTTTAAATTTAACTCTCCATGTTAAAGCATAAGTTAACAGATACTTATCTAGTAGACTTCCTTGTGAGATGCCTGTGTAGGTTTGACATTTGTGCAAGAGCAGTGTTGTCTCCAAGATGGCCATTCTGAGCTCCCCAAGAGAGAGCCAAGTTAAGAGCGAGTCAGAGCAGTTCTGTATCTGCTTTCCTATGTAGAAGGAGCAGGAGAAGGGCCCCTGATGATGAGCAAATCAAACACATTGATCATAACAGCTGCCCTTATCAGGCATACACCCCTGTAAAGGCCGTCTATGCAGACTCTTGAAATATCACCCCAGTCTCATAGGATGATCCTCTTCTCAGCCTCACAGACGAGCAAACAAGATTCAGTAGATCATACAGTTAAGAGGTAATGGAGACCACGCCTCATGCTGAGGGCTCCTCTTCAAAGAGCACACCCTCATCCTGTATTGGTCTCCTGACAAAGAAACGTCACCTATCACTACCAACCTCTCAGCCCATGTCTGCCTTTTCCACTTGCCCCTTACTCTCTTTCCCTGTTTCCCTGTGCCATCCATGACACAGACTCTGGTGACACCCACAGATGAGTGCACTGAAGGATAGCTGCTCCCTGGCTACACACACACACGCACACGCACACGCACACGCATGTGCGATACATAAAGAGATCAGCCATGACACATTTGTCTAAACTTCCACGTGCTGACTATATTTTTGTTGACTTGACACACACTGGAGTCACTTCAGAAGACGGAACCTCAACTAAGGAATCGCCCCATCAGACTGACCTATGGACAAAGGTATGGGACGTTTTCTTGACTAATGACTGAAGTGACAGAAGGCCCAGCTCACTGTGGACTGTGCCACCCCTGGGTTTTATAAGGAAAACACAACAACAAAACAAAACAGGTGAGCCATGGAAAGCAGGCCAGTAGCTGCATTTCTCCATGGCCTGTTTCAGTTCCTGAGCCCTGGCCTCCCTTAACAGAGGACTGTCCCCTGTGAGATGAAATAAAGCAGTTTCTCCTCAAATCACTTTTGGTCATGTGTTTATCCCAGCAATAGAAAACAAGCTAGGACATGCCGAAAGCCAGAGAGATGTTGACAGCATCAAGAGATGCTGTGAGGGGAACCACCAAAGGTTAATAGCTGACTTTACATTAGAAACAATGCAAGCCATATTCAAAGTGCTAAAATCAAAACTGCCAGTCAGCCTGTGTGCCTTTGCTTGTTATCTGGATGCAGGTTTTGCGGAACTACAACTGGCAGTATGGAGGCTTGTCTGCCCATCACAGGACCAAATCTCTCTCTCTCTCTCTCTCTCTCTCTCTCTCTCTCTCTCTCTCTCTCTCTCACACACACACACACACACACACACACACACACACACACACATACACACAGACAGACAGACAGACAGACAGACAGACAGACAGACAGACAGAGAGACTTATCAAAGGTTCTTTTATTGGAGGGATCCCCTCAGACTATTCTGGAAATACCACTGTCTGGGGATGGATGCCTGCTGACCTCACTTGGAGGACATGCTATTGGAGGAAGCTTTCTGTCCTAGTCTGAAAGTTCTGTCATAACAGAATACCACAGTCTTGGTAATTTATAGAAGTTATGTTTCAGAGCTCTGAAGGATTGTCTCAGATCAAGACATTAGTTCTGATTTGATTGTCTGGTGAGGGCTGTATCCTTCTGAGGAACTATCATCAGAGGGCTGAAGGAAAAACTGTTCCAGTACTACATAAAGTCTTTATAAGAAGCTCAGTCCCATCCACAAGGGAGGAACTCCTTGTGAGCTGTCTGCCACTGGTAGCTCTGCCTCTTAATCCTGTCAGTAACAGCCTTTCCGCTTTAGAGAAACTTGCATGCTGGTGACATAACCACTGTCACATCTGCTCACCCATCTTCTAGGCACCCTCTTCAAGGGACAGATTACACACAGGTCCCAACCATAGCTCATGTGCTATGTGTCCTCCTGACCCTCTGCATTCTTCGTAGTATACTTCATAAGGTGCTTGGTGAGTGCACATTGGCATGGTATTCCAAACACCAAGCAATAGCCAACCTCAGGGAGACATGATAGCAGAGACAGGCTGCTGCCACAGGGTGCTTGCGAGGGTGTGCTCTACCTGGGACCAGGAGGCCATGCTCAGGCTCGAGCTCTTAAGGTGTGCTTTCTCAGCCCTTTCTCTAGTTTAGGTACCACTTCCTCCAGGAAAGGCTGCATTTTTCTCTTGCAGTGCAGCTGGACAGTTTCCTGGATGAAGGGCCTTGCCTGGTGTTGCGATCACTCTCTGGTTGGATGGCTCCTTATAATTAATGGTCAGGGATGGGTATTTACAAGTCAGGACCAAACCAAGCATACTGTGGAGCTGGCCTCCAGTCTGTTCTGCTTTATTCACAAAGTAGACATGAGATGCCTTCGTGGAAGAACTGTTAACATTTATTTTAGTTCCCAGAGGTAAACCATGCAGCCAGCCATGAGCAAACATTATAGAAGTAAACAGTGCAACTTGGAGGCAGTGGTCTCTGAGGCTGCATCTGTCTGGGAAGACGGGAAGGTGCAATAAGCTGTGGTCCTCTCCACTCACCACGCTTCACCTTCCACAGAGCACAGAGCCAGCTGCACTTCAGCCAACCACAGTTTCCGTCTATGCTGATTGTTATTTCTATCCGTCATAGGTTTGAAGACATACCTGATATCGGGTCAGAGAGCCAAGGAGTCCCACTGCAGCTGTGCAGAGGCCCTGCTTTCTGGCTTTGAGGTCATTGACGACTCACGGGTGTCCTCAGGCCCTAGGGGACAGGGGACAGCATCGCCAGGGAGTGTCAGTGACTTGGCGCAGACTGTCAAAACCTTTGATAACCTTAAGGTTAGTTTTTATTTTCCCCTCTCTCTCTCTCTCTCTCTCTCTCTCTCTCTCTCTCTCTCTCTCTCTCTCTCTCTCTCTCCTACAACTTTGTAGTAATCCTACAGCAGAAAACATGAACTAATCCCCCCTATGGCAGACGACCCAGGATGCCTTCAATTTAGTTTTTTTTGATTTAAGAATTTAATATAAAGTTAGTTATATTGCACATTTTTAATATCCTTGAATTTTTAGCATTTATACATCTCCATTTTTCTCTCTGTTTTGCTTAAAAATATTTCTCAGTTTGGTTAATTTTTTTCTTGAGCCTGTGGTGTCTTTGAGAGCCTCTCAAAGACAATGATAATGTCTGTGAGGGTAATTTTCCTTATATCATACTCGGAGAGCTAGAATCTTATTTTATTTTGGAGAGCACTCTTCTGTTTTTTGAAATCCACAGTTTTATGATTATGTTTTTTGTTTTATTTCATTGGTTTTTGGTTTTTTGAGATGGCATTTCTTTGTGTAGCCCTCAATATCCTAGAACTAGTTCTGTAGACCAGACTGGCCTCATACTGACAGAGATTCACCATTAAAGGTGTATACCACCAACCACCTTGCAACTTTGTGATAATCTTAAATTGTATTGGTATGGGTGAATCTTGCAATGTAGTTCTATTTTTTTAAAAAAAAGAACATTGTTGAGAATATTCTGGTATTTTGCAACAGAGATCTCCTATGACAGTCAGAAGTGCCTACGTCTGGATTGGCATGTCATGAGAAAGTACTCAGGAATTAACATGCTCATCCTTGGGCATGAGAAACTGTTCTCATTGTGTGCTGTTTTTCCCATATCCATTGGATTTAGTTTTTCTGTGGGTGCCTTTTGTTTATGTTTTTACTTTTACTTTATTCATACTCTGTGTCTCTGATTCTGTGTGTGTGTGTGTGTGTGTGTGTTTGTGTTGAGGCCAGAGGTCAACCTCTGACGCCTGCCCCACTCTTTAAAAACAGCCTCTTACTAGGACATGGGACTCACTAATTAGACCCTGCTGACAGGCCAGTGTGCTGTCTGCCCCTCAGCATGAGGAGTTTAAGTGTATGTCACCAGCCCCAGCTCTCTATGGGGAGCTCGTGCATTCATAGTGAGTATCTTACTGACGGTGCTTTCCCCGCCCCTTCTGTTTATTTTCATGTTTAAGTATTTCTGTTTCCATTTTTAAAGACAGCAAGACACTTCTAATAGTTCTCTGCTGTGTGGCGCTTTCAGATAACAAGATGGTGGATGGTGGGCTGTGGTAACAGCTGCTGTCGAGTATGGCTTACCTACATTTATTAGATTTGGAAGCTGGTTGCCTGTTCATAAGCTTATACATTTTTTTATAGGCTGGTGGCTTATACTTGTAGCATTCAGGAGGCTGAAGCAGGAGGATTACTGTGCATTTGAGAGCAGTCTAAGCTAGAGGGCAAGACCCTGTCTCCAAAACAACAAAAATAACAAGCTTTACAGTGTGCAGTCTGCTGGCGTATCCACATTATTTTATGTGTGAAGACTCTGGACTTCGGTGCCAGTCATCTGATTACTTCTGGCCGTGCCATGTCCAGGCTTATTGAAAGCTCACTTATCATTTTACTTATGTGCTTCATTAATTTAAAGAGCTTTCTTTACAATTCTAACAGTTCAGACCCGATAATCCTGGATACTGGGCTGTGGTGCATATTGCCAGATGGTCAACACCATCTCTGACCTCTGCCTACTAATACCACATATCCCCCTTCCCAGTTATGCTAATCCAAATGTTCCCGTCATTGCCCGGTGTCACCCAGGCTACTACTGTGGGTGACAGCTTAGGATAGTAGTGTTGGACTCCTGTATATGCAGGGCAGTCAGGATATCTAACTTTCCCTCAAATGCCTGCCTTAGAGATAGGGACAGATTCTCTATGGCATCTGCAGGAGGGCGGTCAGGTTACAGACCGGCTTCAAACGGGCAGGGAAGAATTAAAACAAAACAAACAAAAACAAAAATGTGGCTTTCTGAAAGTGTTCTTTGTGTGTGGGGAAAGTTTCCCCAGGCCTCACATTCCTTATTTAGTAAGAAAATAGAGCTCAAAACTCAAAATGAATGATGTGTATCTGTCTACCTATTGATCATGTGTGACTGTGGTCCCCTGGACACACCAGCAATACTAGCCTCAGGGATTCTAGGCTAAAATGCCTTAAGACAGATTTCTCTTCTCTTGAAAAACCATTTTCTTCTAGTTGTAAATCTGTTTTGATCAGAAGGGTGAAAACCACTTAGCATATCCTAGTGCCATGCTCACGTTTCCAAACATGAGTTTCCTGGAAATGGAATACAGGGTCTGTTGACTGAACGGCCAAGACATTTGTGCGATGAGGGAAAGAAGGTCTTTGTGTCCCTTTCAGGACAGAAGGATGAGTTAGCTTATGAGACATAATGTCTGGGTTCTAGATGGATAGTTTGGCCACATGGTAAGGATTCTTCAGACTAGATCCCAGAACACTGGAGTCAATCAATCCCACATTTGGGGTATATAGCACATGAAGAGATAAAAGGCAGGCCACGGGGTGTAGTTGATACTGCCAGGAGCCCCTCTTACAGTCCCATCCCTCCAGCATCAGAAGAGCGCAGGCATCCGGGCCTGAGAACTCAGTAGCATTGCGTAACTGCACTATGATTCTACACAGCAGTAGAGCACTGAGTCTGCATCCAAGACAGTGACGATGATACTCAGCTCTATAAGGTCCATGCTTGAGTAGGAGATTTTGTAAAATGCCAGTTATCTGCTCTGCGTTCTTTGTGTCAGTCTCTCCAGTACACCTGCCAGTGCCTTGAACTCATGACATTGGTTTATTGCCTTAGTAATATTGCCTGCCCTAACGTGAGCTTTTCCATTGCTCTTGGATCCTATGTAGAGTCTGTTTACTTCCCTTCAGCAGGCTGCTTTTCCTGTGTTGGGGACTACTTCATCGAACAGAGTAATTCCCAGTGGATTCATGACCTGGCCCCCTGAAGAGACCTAGCATAGAGTGGTGTCTCTCAAAATATGTTCCCTTTTGCAATAGAGTCTCAGGATGGGCACCAGGTGGGATACAAAAGAGACTCTAGTCTGGTTGACTTGTAAAATTCTGAGTCAACAATCCAGACAGGATTTCTCTAATCACAAGACTACCACAGCAGCCATTGCTGCCTGTTCTAAGAAATCTGAACTGAGAAATCTGAGAGCCGTTAGGGAGGAATCTTGCTATCTAACCCAGACCAACCTCAAACTCACAGTTCTCCTGCCTCAGTCTCCCAAGTGCTGAGAGTATAGGTGTGGGACAATGTGTCTGACCCTGTTTCCCGCAATTATAAGTCAGGAGATATTTCTGAAGACATTCTGAAACCTATGAGACAGCTCAACATGTCAAGGTGCTTGTCACCAACCTGACAACCTAAGTTCAGTCCTCAGGACCCTCAAGGTGGCAGGAGGAAGTCACACGCATGCCCTAGCATACAGACAGCATAAAGGCAAATATGTAATAAAGAAAATATGTATATTAATTAAGTGGAAAGACATGCATAGTGTCACTTAGTGAATGTCACTGGATGTGCAGTGCTATGTGTGGGGGACATTTCCCAAAATGCTAAATACTTTTCTTATTTTGTTTTTCTGACAGAATATTTCTATAATATAGTAACAATACTTTTTCCTCGAGGCCTACTGAAACTAATCTAGACATTTTTTTTGTTTTTTTTTTCTTTTTTTAAAGATAGGGTCTCATACAGCCTAAGCTGTCTCAGACCCTCCTGCTCTCTCTGCCTATGCCTCCGGGATTACAAGCCTGCACCACCATGCTCAGTAGAATCTTAATTTATTCTTCTCATGGATTTTTTTTAATCAATCTTGGTTTTTAAATTTAAAAGTCCTGTAGGGCTGAGGAATTAAATGAAAAGTTTAGTAATTAGTGTTCTTTGATTCTTCACAAGGTGACTTTGAGATCTTGTGTCTAAGTTTTAACAGTTGTGTATTTGTGGCTTTGCCTCCAGTGTTCCTGAACAGTCTTGCTTCCTGTTCTCACAGATCTGTGGAGCCTTTCTTTTCTGTCATCATTGCTGCTTTGTTTTCCTGTAAGGATTCGTTTCTATTCACCTCTGATATTTTCTTAGCAGAAATCATGTTTTGAAAGTGTTCCTGTCCATACCTAAGTAACAAAGCCCTGGCCACGGGTGGCATAGTGCCTTCTTCCCACCGTGGAGCGCCCAGTGTGTGTGGTTAGGCTCATATTTCCTCCGTGGCTTTCCTACTGTGTGACTGTATATGAGCCCCTTCTCTTCTCCGCCTCAGCTTCCTCCTGTGTAGAATGGAACTTACTGTGCCTGTGTTGTGGGTGTGTCTGAGGAGGAAACACTGAAACACAAAGAGCTCAGAGGGGATTTCAGTGATTGATGTGTGCTGTCATGCTTACCCCAGCCAGCCATGTCCACCATGAGCCTTGTGGTAGAGGATGCTTCTTCTAGTACCCAGACATAGCTAACTAGTCAGTAATCAGCATACTAAACAGGCAAATCCAGGACTGATGTTTCCATCCCCCAAAGAGGCTTTGCTGTGGCAGTTATGGAAAGGGACAGGTGTTGACTTCAAAATGATTTATCTTGCAATGGGAAACAGCCTTGAGTAAAAACAAACAGAAAAGCCCAGCAACCCCGCTTTATAACTCTACACCATGTATTCTGACCAGAATTAGAGTGCATGCATCGAAACATGTTAGAAATACATAAAAGTGGGTTCATATGTATTAGAGGAATGGTTTTGGTTTTTCCTTCAAAGCCCATGTCCACCATGGGGGGAGAGGGAATGGTGAAGTGTGCTCTTGGTGAGTTTCCAAGGACTCTCGGGTTACCCAGGCAACAGCCAGCAAACTCCTTGTCCTGTAGGGATGCTGTTTAGGGGATGGTTGTACTCCCTTTAGTGTGTCTGTGCCAGTAGAGCTACTCAGAGGAGCCAAGATGGAAGTCACAGCAGCTTGGGTCATTTCAGGTGATCAGAGCTCAGCAGATCAAGGTGTCAGGATATTTCCTTGTGACAGGAAAGGCAGCCAGAGTAAAGTCCCATGGTGATCAGGGGCCAGGAGCTCTTGAGTCAAACCCCAGTGTCCACAAACCATTCTGTCTTCAGAAGGCTTATGTCTTTCCTTTGAGTTCGTGTGCCCATGCGTGTGTGTCTGTGTAAGTGGTGTATGCAGGTGCATACACATGTATACGAATGTGTTTCCTGTGTGTGTTTGTATGACAGCCAGCAGAGGACATTGGTTGTCCTGTCACTTTTTGCTGCATTCCCTGGAGACACTGAGGCTATCTTTGCAGGTGTCCCTAGTGATCTAGACCTGAGTCCTCATGCTTGCAGAGTCTCCATGTGGTCAGGAGGGATCCCTGCGTTTGTACATGACGAGACTGTAAGCCTGCCTCTGTGTGATTGGCAAAAACACCTCTAGCTCATAGCTGTTGTCATTTTGACAGTGATTCTGTGACATGCTCCACAGTGAGGTGTGCCCCCAAGGTGTATAGGGAAGGGTCTTGTCGGGGTTGGAGGTAGGAGGTTCTTGGCAATGGTGGAGATGCCAACTGCTGCAGAGGGAGAGATGGACATTCTCGGTAAATGGGGAAGGTCAGCTCAACAAAAACTTCAGATTGAAGTTAGGCCACAGAAATAGTCAAAGGAAAATTGCTGTTGGGGCTGTAGAGAAAGAAGCAAAGCTCGCACCATTGTGTAGCAAATGCCTATGCTACACAGGGGCCCCACACTGAATAGGGTGTGGAGACAGAAGAGTATCTCTCTCAAGGAAGGTAGATTTTTCTGAAAAAATTGAAATTTCATTCATTCTAAACTTCTAGTCAACAAAGTCTCCCCAAAAGAAAGTAGCCGAGAAAGAAAGAGACTAGCAAAGATCTCCGTTTTAGAGTTCAGTGAAATGGTTTGCTGCATGCAGATCTAGGTCCCTCTGGTGCAGCCCAGCTAAGAAGGCCGTGTGGCTCTTCTCCAGTCTCCATGTTCAAAAGTGGCCAGAGAAATAATAGCTTTGTACTGTTTCACACTCCTGTTTCAAGATCCTGGCACCAGGGGTTTGAATGAAGTTAATGTCTTTCAAACCATAAGGTACTCCTGTCCCCACTAAGCTGTGTCCTTCCCTAGTCAACTACTTGGTTAGTGAAATGTTCAGTGTGCCCTCTGGAGGAACAAGCTAGGCACTGCACTAGTACCGAAGCGGGGACTCAAGGCCACCTTCTGAACAGCTCCAGTTCCCTTGGGGCCATTTACTTCATTCCTCCACTGGAGGCTCAGAGGGTCACTTTGTGATTGATATTGGGTGATATGTGTGTATGTGTGTGTGCATGCATGTATGCTTGTGTGTTCATGTGTGTAGGTCAGAGGTGGGTATCACCTTCAGTGATTCCCCCATCTTGATGAGACACAATCAGTCTCTCACTGAACCAGGAGCTCCCTGGTTCATCTAGAATAGATGGCCAACAAGGCGCAGGGATCCTTCTGTCTCTATTTCACCAGTGCTGGGATTACAGGTGCTCGTGGCCATACCTGGCTTTAAAACATCAACAAAACAAACAACAACAATAGCTGTGTGTTCAGGGGATCGACTAGAGTCTTCATGCTTGTGTATGGAATACTTCACTGATTCATAACCCTGTCCATTAGTAAATGTTTGAACTTTAACTCAGTCAGTACCACAAGATGTTTTTAAATTATTTCACTATAGCTGGAGTGGTGGTGTATGGACACAATCCCAACAGTCGGTAGGTAGAAAGAGGAGAATCAAGGTGGTTCTTTGATACATAAGTTCAAGACTAACCTGAGATATATGACATGCCATCTCAAAAAAAAAAGTCATTGTATTAACTTACCAATGGAGCAGTCTGTCTTGTTGACATCAGTTTGATAGTGTAAGTACAACATTAGCGAGATGCTCCCTGGGGAAAGTGCTTGCCACATAGCCTGAATTTGATCCCCAGAACCCACTTAAAAATAGAAGGAGAAAACTAACTCCAGGAAGCTGTCCTTTGATTTCTATGTGCTCCCCAGCACACACACACACACACACACACACACACACGCGCGCGCACATGTGTGCACATACACACATGCACACACAAAATTGAAACTTAAAAATAAAGGGTATACACAGACCTTACCTGGGAGCTAGTATTTGCTCAGATGTGCTATTTAATAAACAGTAGCTACTTTGGCATGCACACATCCATCTTTGAAATGAATATGGGTATTCAGCCTGCAGTATGTCAGATTCCCAAACTATAGAACTCTTTAGAATCTTGATGCTTTCGTTTCATGCAGTGGTGACCTGTGACCTCGGATTAGATGTGGATTTGGGTCATACTCTTGCCTTTAGGCTATTTTTAATTTTTCAACAATACCTTGTTTTCCATGATTAAACCTAGTGTTTAATAGTTCTCACTGAGAAGAAGTCATCTTCACTGGCAACTGGCCATTGCCACGCCATCCCTAGTCTGCTGTGTCACACTGACAATAGCAATGACTGTTGGGGACATGGTGAGTCCCAGGAGCTGTTAGATGTGCACATACTCACTCCATTTAATCCTTAAAGCATCTCTCCAAGAAAAGTTTTCACTTTCATCTTGCACAGGAGGGTCCTGAGGTAAAGTCATTTTAGTCAGGGGGTTTGTGAGTAACTGAGCTGAGCCTCAAAGGTTCCTGAGAGGGGAAGTGACAGCTTTCCTCTTCTGCACCTGTCTGTACTGAGTATTGCCTTTGTCTTCCTAGGTCAGCTAATTCCTACAAGCTTGGTTTTCAACCCAGCTGCCCAGCAAAGAGAGCTCATACACCTCAGCTATTGTCCACTTAGCCTACTCATCTGTCACTGTGACATGTGATCCATATATCACAGAACCAGCCTTTAATCATCTAAGTTCACAGTGTATTTGCAAGGTATAAAACTGTCATGTTACTTCAGAACATTTTCATGACCCCTTTAAAGAAAAGAAAAGAAAAAGAAAACCCATCTTCCTCTAGTTAACTGATGTCACAAAAATCCATCAACCAGAGGACACTCACGGTAAGAAGTTGTTGCCATGCTGGCTCATACAGTTCTTACAGAGGAGCTGGATTTAATTCCTAGCACTCAAATTGGGCAGATGACAACTGGCTTCCTCAGACACTACTCCCATGTGCACATACCCACCCAGAAGCACACAGAAGCATAATTAAAAATAAGTGTAATTTTGGAAAAAAGTTATTACTGTTCTGGAAGCCAATACATTTGATATCCAGTGAGGATATGATCCTGGCTCACAGATACATGGCCCTTTCTCACAGATTGGGAATGGCCAGGGAATTGATTGGTTCCCTTTTATAAGGGCCATGATCCTGCTCACAAGAGCAGGTCCTCATTGCTTGATTACCCGCTGAAGGCCCTACCTCCTGTCACCTTCACTGTAGGAATCATGCTGAGAGGGGGGCACACTGGTCTGCAGCACAGACAGTAGCTGTTAGCAATCACTGTTTCCCTCCCAGCAGCCATCACTGGTCTTTCTCTAGAACTACCTTTACCGGGCATTTCACAACTTCTCAGATGGAGTACATAGCTTTTGTATCTGATTTTTATTGTTGTTTGTGATAATCCTCCTGTCTCAGCCTCTCGAGTTCTGGGATTACAGTTGTTCACCACCATGCCTGGCCTTTTCAGAAAGCATGATGGAGGGCGTCCAGGTAAACAGAGTCCTATAGCACACGTTGGAAGTTGCAGAAGCAGCCGAGGGCCAGATTCAACTGCACATCAGTGAATGCAGAACTCATGGCCACTCAGGAAACTGAGAAAAAGGCCCTGAGCAAGACATATGTAACACCCTTTGCAAAATGCAGGGAACATCGTGGAAGATGGGGCAGAAGGAACATAAGGGCTTAAAGAGAGGGAGAAGGACAGGAGATGCCATTCTTCTAGGTAGACACAGCTATTGCAAGTCACTGCAGCTTGATTACTGGGATCAGACATGCGCAGTATTGGCTCTGTCGGGAGTCAGTAATGGATGGGGTGGGCTCATGGAACTCGACCCGTCTCTGCTAAACTTACTGGCTCCTGACAGGTTCTGGAAGAGGCTGAGTCACTGTCTTCAATTTCATCTACACTCATATTCCCTCTGTGTTGGAGTGGGGAATTCCAAACCGATGCTCACACAGATGGTTCTAGATAAATTCAGTGGGTCACAAATCAAAAAGATAGAGGAGTATGGGAATGATATTTGTAGGAAGGTGCGGGTTTGACAGGAGTGGAGGGAGAAAGAAGAGTGAGGTTGGGAATAATTAGAATGTACTATATATATACATGAAATTGTTAAAGAACAAATTTAATTTAAAAAAAAAAAGCATAGTGTGTCCAGGGTTTGTTTGTGTGCCATGGCTGAATCACCATGGTTGGTTGACCCATCAGCCAGTGGGATTTGTGTTTCTTTTTGGCTATGCGCTACTCTGAGTTCATGTAAGGTTTTTGTTTCCCATTTCATCTTACCAGTTTGTGCTTGGGTCTCCCTGAACCTGTGTGGTTCAGTCAGCCTTGCACTTGGTTCTATCATTTATAGGCAAGCAGGCCGTAATAACCCTGAGTGGCTTGGATCTTGTATCATGGAGGTATTTTCCAAGCATATTCTATGGCCTTTGTTTTCTCTCAGACTTGCCCTTCTTGTGGAATCACATTTGCTCCCAAATCTGAAGCTGGTGCAGAAGGAGGAGCTGTACAAAATGGCTGTCAAGACGAGCCTAAGACCAGCACCAAGGTAACAAGCTCATGGCTGTTGTTCCTGTCAGTACCTCTCCTGGCGCATCCACCTAAGGTGACATTCCTGTCTCGTCAACTTCTTAGATCTGAAAATAACTCCTCTTAGGTAATAGCATTCCAAACCTTCTAGGCTTTGGGGTAGAATGACCAATAACTAAGATGACAGAGGGCCTGGGAGTCAGCTCAGTAGTGGAGGCAGGGCATGTGTTGTGCATGCATATGGCCCTGGGTTTGATCCCCAGCACTTAGGAACAAAACAGCAACAAACAGGACGGCTGGTTAGAGCCCACTGACATAAAATAGAACTGGATGAGATTCTTTAGGGGCAGCCAGTTCAAAAAGCTTGTGTTAGAGGGCTGTGGGCTGGGCTTTGTATATGGTGGAATACAGAGGTGCAAAGAGGACCAAGGGCCTCTCCAGGTAAGGGCTGCACCCAAGAGAGAGGCTCCTGAGGCAGAGCTGACCGCCGGGGGCTGCTTGAAGCCAGGGCTTTGAGACCAGGGCAGGACTGGAGTGGAAAGTAGAGCCTGAACAGAGAGCTCTGGGAGGCGTTGCAAACTGCTTCCTTGGGAGCCTCTGTCTGTCCTTCTGCATCTCCCAGTATCTGCAGGGGACTCAGATGGGTGACTTTCCCAGCCACAGGCACTTTCATCCAGGAGCCTGGGTTTTCCTCCCCTGGAACTGTCCCGGAGCCTCCTCTGCCTTCCCTGTAGCTCTCTTCTGTCTTCAGCTCATCTTTACTTCATGGCTGTTCTACAGCCTCTTTCTTCTGGCTGCCGAACACCCAGACATGCCCTGTCCCAAAGCAGAGCCTCTGGGAAAGCAGGGCTAGGGGAGAAGTGGAATGTGGAGTGGAGGCCCCAGCATGCTGGAGGATGGGTGTCAAACGGGTGTGCTCCTGGCGACCACTTCACCCCCTGTGCTCCTTCCTCTGTCTTGAGGCAGGCTTCTGGAGGATCCAACTCCAAAACCCAGAACGGACTCCTGAGCCCTCCTGCAGAGGAGAAGCTCACCAACAGTCAGACCTCCCTCTGTGAGATCCTGCAGGAGAAGGGACGGTGGGCTGGTGTGAGCTTGGACCAGTCAGCCCTCCTCCCACTCAGGTTCAAGAACATCCGTGAGAAAACTGATGCCCACTTTGTTGATGTCATCAAAGAAGACAGGTAAGGCCCCACATCCCGCAGCAGTGGCAGGGTCTGCAGGTTCCCTGAGCTATCTCATCCATGTGTCTGCTGTCTGTCTGCTGTTGTTGTATTGCTTTATTTTTGTTCTGAGGTAACATGAAACTTGAAATTCACTATACATTCTGCCTGATATACCCGCTTTTAGCATTGTATTTATTTTCTTTATCATTATTTCTCTTTTGTGTTTGTGTCCCTGCATGTTAGTATAATGCACATTGGAAGTCAGAGGACAGCTTTTAAAAGCCAATTCGAGGATCAAGCACAGACTGTCAGGCTTGCTGACAAATGCCTTTACCTGCCAAGCCATCTTGCCTGCCCTATTTTTTAAAAAATTGATTGTTTGGGTGCCATATGAAGAAATGGGTTTTGTGATATTTTTATCAGCATACTCCATTCTTATTTACTGTCCCCCAATTCAGGGTCTCACTGTATAGTCCTGGAGGGCCTGGAACTTTCTACGTAGATCAGTGTGGCCTTGAACTTGAAACCAACATGGTCCAGCAGGCACATGTGCTGCCAAACCCAGTATATATTTATTTTAACATTAATTTCTGCCCCCCCATTCCCCTCTCCAACTGCCCTTTTTCCTTTCTCCCTTTTCTCTTTTTGTGTTTTTTTGAACCATTTGAACAAAGTATGTTGGATACAGTATGCTCATCACCTCTTCATATGTCAACTCCTAAAAATAATTATGTTGTGCAAATGTGAAATCCGAGGTGTTTGGGGATATTCTTTTTAGCCTTAAGTCTATGTTGATTAAGTCTTAATTGTCAAGTGACCATCAAGTCACTGGCAGCGCTCTCTCTCTCAGCCCAGAATCTCATCCAGGCTCACATTTATAGAAAGACTTGGATGTTGGATTTTGTGAATTCCCCCCTCAGACTCAGGTTCTGTCTCTCTGGCCAGGCCTAATGGGAATGATGTCTGTCACAGCCAGAGGATACAACACCCACTGGTCCTTAGTAAGCGATAGCATCTGCACTGGGTGAGGCTTTACCAGTTTCTCCAAACAATTATTATTTTTTTCACTATGACTAATAGACAGTGGGACGATCCACTCCTTGTCAGACTTCCTTGGGGTTAACCTCTTTTGACAAGCCTTGGCTGAAACCATCTTTGTTGTGGTGGTTCAGGGGGTGAATTGCATCTGCAGCATGTTGCCCTTGGTATGTAGCACCCACTCTAAAGAGGTTCCCTTCCGGTTACTGCTTTACCCACCGTTGTTAACCTGAGCTCACCTCGCACACTCCTGTTCTGTCTGTCTTTGCGCTTAACACTCGAATGCTTGACTCTGGCTGGTTGACCCCCTTAAGACTGGCCAGTGGTCCTTTTGATGTGACCCCTCATTTGTTTGATGTCACAGCAGGATGTCCCGAGCTCACTCCTTTTCCCTACTCTAGCTTAGGAATGAGCTCTCTAAGGTGCCCTGGCTCCTTTTCATAATGAATGTTTTTGGGATGTGTTATTAACACCTAATTTAACACCATTGTCCGAGCACATGCTCTGTGTGGTTTCAGTCCTTTAAACTGAGACTTGTTTTATGTTCTCACACAATGTGCTGGTGAGGATATATGCCCTTGCAAAGTGTGCTGCACAGTCAACTGTTTTCATTTGTAGACTGCTCTGATCTGTAAGCATAAGTTAGGTCCAGGTGGTCGACAGGATTATTCTGATAATCTATATGTTCAGTAGTTTTCTGTTGTTCTAGCTAGATGCCCAGACCACAGTTCAGTTGTAGCTCCAGGAACTACAAGCACATAGCTGTTCTGGTTTCCGTTCTCCAAGTCACAATCCGCAATTGAGGGAAACCAGAGCAGGAATTCAAGGCAGGAATCTGGAACAGAAGCTGTAGAAGGACACTGCTCACTGGCTGGCTCCCAGGTTCATATTTATCTGTCTTCCTGATACATTCTAGGACCACCGGCCCAAGGATGGCCCTGCCCACAGTGGCCTGGGCTGTCTCCATCAGTCAACAGTAAAGACTACAGGCTAGTCTGATCTGGTAAATTCCCCCAGGTGAGACTCCCTCAGATAATGCTGGGTTATAGCAGGTTGATGCTGAAGCTAACTAGGACAGCATCCTTAGGCCTTCTCTGTGGGCTTCGAGTGACGGTTAAATCACTTCATTTTAAACGAACTCTTGCAATGTATACCTGTGGCTCTCCTCTTGTAAATCATGCCCTTGCTGTTGTGTGTGTCCAACTACATGAATCATAAGTCCCTGTCTTCTTACTCCCGACTCTCTGGAGTCTTCAGGGAATCTACAGTGACTGCATTTCTTTTACGTGGAGTTGTGTTTTTCCAAATTCTTTGTAAGCCTAGCAATGTTGGTTTGTGTTGACATTGTGTGTGACACTTAGAAAATCTGAATGTCATTATATCTCTTTGAAGAATGCTAAGTGTCTCGGCAAGCAGTTCACTTATCTGATTCAAAGCAAATGGTCTCTTTTAGCTTTAACTGGGCTGCTTGGGGGGTCTACCAGTCACGTGCAATTAAGATGCAATTCAAGAGTCATGCTTAGATGTGAGAACAGTTTGTATGCAGAACCTGGACTTCTTCCTCTTTCCTGCCTCTTGCTTTTCTGAGATTTATAACCTCATTCTTTATCTGTAGTCACCCTGTATTTTCTATATTTGGAGGTTAGCTTCAAATTTTTAATATTTATTATTTTATTTGTATGAATATGTTTTCTGCTTGTGTATGTTGTGTACCACATGTGTGTAGCTAAGAAGAGGACATCAGATTCTCTGGAACAGGAGTAGTGGATGATTGTAAGCCACCATGTGGGTGCTGGGAACTGGACCTGGGTCCTCTAGAAGAACACAACCTAAGCTATCTCTCCAATCCCTAATTCCTAGGGTTTTTTTTTTTAAAGATTTATTTATTTATTATATATGAGTACACTGTAGCTGTCTTCAGACACACCAGAAGAGGGCATCAGATCTCATTACAGATGGTTGTGAGCCACCATGTGGTTGCTGGGATTTGAACTCAGGACCTCTGGAAGTGCAGTCAGTGCTCTTAACCACTGAGCCATCTCTCCAGCCCAGGGTTTTTTTTTTAAATGCCATTCTAAGTCTGCTTTTTCGAGCCAGGCATAGTGATACAAATTCAAGATCCCCTTCTCCACACCCCCTTCTTTCCTCTCCTCCTTTCACCTTCCCTTCCTTGATCCCAGTCTTATTTATAGCCCACGTGTCTTTAAGCCCATGACCTCCCTGCCTTGGCCTTCCAAGTGCTGGGGTTGCAGGTTTGTTTGTTTGTTTTTTTTTAAATCAGAGGGTCAGCTGTGATGCTAACTAATGTTTGTCTTCAGAGAAAACAAAACCAAGGTAAAAGGTGGGAAGCTTACTTGTCTGTCTGTCTGTCTTCCCTTCTTCCAAGGATGTCTCCTCTTTCCAGCCGTCTTGGCCACTCTGTCTTGTGTCTCCCAGCGTTGCTTTAACTCTTCCCTGAGATCCAGAAGCAGAAATTCCCAATATTAACTGTGAAAGAGACATGCAGCTTCAACAGGGTTGATCCTGCCACTGGACGGCTGCGATACCAACACCAGACTCCTCCAGCATCTGCCTTGTCATTTCCTCTCTGTCTTTGGAAAGGAAGCCAGCATGAGGGAACATTTTTTCCTCTTTTGAATCTAAGAACATCATAAGTTATTGCACATTTGTCACAGAAAAGAATCTATTCTGCAGCAAGAAAAGGAGGAATGAACCATGTGACAGGCACATTTGAGGCTCCTTCCCTGTTTTACATGACTTCAGGCTAAAGGCTACTATATGTGAGAGAGAGATTACACCCATACGTGTATTTGCCTTCTGAAATCACACCAGCATTCCCTTAAATCTATAGTAACAAGGATAGTACAATTTGCCGACAGTCCATAGAAGAATACAACAGTTGTGTAAGTCAGATTTGATTTCTCAGCTGTTAAAATTGTTGAGCATAATCATTTTCAAGTCTCACCTACACTCTGAATATTAGACAGCAACCCCACAGTTACCCCATCTGCAAACACCATCTCCCAGTTACAGCTTGTTACATTTGAGGGATAATTACTTTCAGTATTCTGGATGACAGAAAGCCTTTGGAACTGCCTTCATTCAAAGTCTCCAAATCTCTGTAAGTCCACTCAGCACCATGATCTGCTGGTTTTCCGAAAAGATCACCTCACAGGATAAAAGAGCTGCCATCATTGTCTTCTGATCCTGGATGCTCGGACCATGTAATCAGAAGCACAGTCTAACGAGTGTGGTGATCGTGCACAGTGGTCACTCCCTAGTGAAGGGAAACAGCAGATGATTGTGTCTAGACAAAAAGGACCTTGCTAGAGGCATGTCTCTGGAGGCAGCACCTGCCACATAGTGATTTCCAGAGGTAGCTTCACTGGTATGTACTCTGAGAGGCATCTGAGCCTGTTTCTGCTGGTTGTGTCTTCCAGCCTAATGAAAGATTATTTCTTCAAGCCACCCATCAATCAGTTCAGCCTGAACTTCCTGGATCAGGAGCTGGAGCGATCCTACAGAAGCAGCTACCAGGAGGAGGTATGTTCTCACTGCAGCCTCTCAGCACAAGCCCCAGTCTCATGGGACACTGTGAGATCGTGATTTACCGAGTAACAGGAAAATGAAGGCCAATGTTGATTTCCCACAACCAGGAAGCCTTGTGTTGGAACTGGATGTGAATCTATCTTTGCCAGGGAGAAAATCCAAGGCTTTTATGGTCCATTATCTTAAAGCCAGGGCATGCCCCTGCCAGATTGTCTCCTCCATAGCTGGTACTTCTGGTCTTCTAACTGCTCTCCTAGCCCTGGAAGGATGCCAATTCACACTTGTTCTGGGCTTTTGAGTGACACTTCTCTCCTGATATCATGAGGTCTGTACCTCCATTCATAATGTGGAGTTCACATTCCCCCGATCATACCATTGTCTTAACTCCCTTGAGTTAAGGGAGCTAGCTTTCCTCTCAGCTTATCCATCATTTCCCCCCTAGAACCCAGCTGTCTTTTACTCCCCTGTGTCTTCTTTATCCTTTGTGTGTACCCCATAGTGGAACCCCATGCGGTTTCTGAACCTAGCACTCAGCTCTCTGTTTCTGTGTTGTTTAAATCCCATCACAGCCACCCACAGTCATATTCATCAGGGGTGCTTGAAAGGAGTGGATGGAAGAACCTGGAGCCTGGTTGGCACTCTAGGTAGCAGGTCCCAGCATTCTCTCCCTTAGCCCCTACCTGACCTGAGTGTTCCAGAGCCCAAAGTGCACCATCACTTGACCCTGGACCAAGAGAGCGTCCACTCAGATTTCACTTGCTCATTGGCAGGGCTTTATGTCTGTTCTGTCTAGGCCATTACCCAGAGAGACCATGGTGTACAAGCTATGGCTGTTTGCTTTGTGTGGTTAGAACTGCTGCATTGTTCATCTCCCACCGGACAGTAAATACCATTCCAACCATGAGTCCCGCTGGCACTTGCCTAATGCAAGACTAGGGGTTGGGAAAGTTGAGAAACCTGGGCATTCAAGTGAGAAAGAAATCCGCCCCCAGCCCACCCCCACTGGCTGTCCTGAGTCTTCTCTGCCCAAGCCCTGACTACTTGCTAGAATGTTCCTTAGATCCCCAGAAAGAGAGTAATGTGCCTGTGCAGAGGAGGTCACTGTGGCAGCCTCCCCTCCAAGATCTTAGGTCTTTTTAGGGGACCTCAAGTTAGGACCAGGCCCACGGTCATCCTCAGAGCCTCTGAATTCCATGGATGAGTAGGAGGTCTCGTCTCTACCCTGTGCCCATCTTGCTCAGGTGAGTTCAGGCTTGCCGTTGGGGCTAACCAGCCCTCTCATTTCCCAAGGCCAAGGCCTGACTTTTCCCGTTTTCCCCAGATCTGTTTTTTTTTTTTTTTTAAGATTTATTTATTTTACTTATGAGTACACTGTAGCTGTCTTCAGACACACCAGAAGAGGGCATCGAATCTTATTACGGATGGTTGTAAGCCACCATGTGGTTGCTGGGATTTGAACTCAGGACCTCTGGAAGACCAGTCAGTGCTCTTAACCGCTGAGCCATCTCTCCAGCCCCCCCAGATCTGTTGAAGGCTGAGGAACTAGAACCAGTTTGGCCTGAAAGGAAGTTGTCCTAAACTGAGGGCAGTCACAGCCTCTCCCTCTCACAGACCTCCAGCCTCCTTCGTCCCTGAGTCTTGAAGCTCCTGTCAGCAGTTTGTCATATCCCTTTTTGACCACGGCCCCAGGCTTGGCATTCTGTATCTTCCTCCTGAGACAGGCCTGGGGTGCACTTGGGAGTCAGTTCATCTGGTGGCAGCCCACTCTGGCTTCACATCCTGTGTTCTCTAGGATAGCCACTCTGGGCCTCCATCGACATGCAGGAACTGTGTCACCTCTTCCTCTATCTGCTGTGGAGAACTCTGACTGAGATGGCGCCTCTCTGGAAGGCCTACAGATGGTCGTGTTTTGGACACATCACCTGATAGCACTTTCCTTCTCCCAAATTCCCTGACAACATGCATGTGCCTCTTTAGTAAACCTCACACAGTACCCTGTTTCTATCCCATCATCAGGCTGCCCTCCCCTTCACGCTTTGTGTCATGCCCGCCCTGCACCCAGCCAGCCCAGAGCATACCCACACGGGCTTTCACCCTTAAAAGATACATAGAGTTCATTTGCTTTTGATTTCACGTGTGCTTTGCCTTCATGTATGCATGTGCACCACAAGTGTGCCTGGTGCCCATAGAGGACAGAAGAGGGTATTAGATCCCTGGGGACTGAAGTTATGGATTATTTTGAACCACCATGCCTGTGCTGGAAGTCACGTCCAGGTCCTCTGGAAGAACAACAAGTACTCTTAACCCTGAGCCTTCCCTCCAGCCTGGGAAGGCTCTCCTGATAAAGGTTGTATACTCTCATTTCACATACAACAGCTTTCCTCAGCTACTGCTGCTTACTGTCTTCTGGTGACGCTCTCTCATCCATCCATTCCCTGGAAGCCCCCATCACCTGTTGCCTTCCCACTGCATTCCCAGATGTGTTCTCCTGGACTATGCTAATGTGTGTGAGAGGCTACTGACTTACAGTCCATTGCTGTGTGACCCTAGGCAAGTTTCTCAACTTTAAATGCGGCAGTAGTGAGGGGATGGCCCGTGTGAACCAGCCATACCAGCTTCTGCCTGGTCTGGACACTCCACACTGCACTCCCTAGCCATCTGAGGACAGGTCAGTGCATTCCATCCTCTCCTGTTCTAAACAGGTCATAAAGAATTCTCCTGTGAAGACTTTCGCCAGTGCAACCTTCAGCTCCCTTCTGGATGTGTTTCTGTCAACCACGGTGTTCCTGATTCTCTCCATCACCTGCTTCCTAAAGTATGGAGCCACCGCCACCCCTCCCCCACCGGCTGCCCTGGCCGTCTTTGGTGCAGACCTGCTGCTGGAGGTGCTTTCCCTCATAGTGTCCATCAGGTATGCCCCAGTTGTAGAAGTGGCTCTCCAATGTTAGCCTCTAGCTCCCTCTTCTGGCCCCATGGTTAATGACAAGACTGATTAACCAGCACAGGGGCCTTCATTTCCTCCCACCCCATTTCAGGGCACTGCCCTTCACTCCACACAGGCGGCACACTAGAGGGGCAGCCGCCCTGCAGCCCAACTGATGCCAAATCTAAATTAGAGATTAAAAGGAGAAATGAGAAATTCAGGAAGAAAGGGAAAAAGAGGTGTAACGGGATTACATGACAGACAGCAGCAGAGAGCAAGCCTCTGCTCACCTAAGGGCCAGCCTAGCCCAATTGAGGAAGTTGTGTCAGTTTATGAGTTTGGAATAGGCAGTACTTATATAAGACACCAAATGTGCAAGCAACAAGAAAAACAGATAAACTGGACTTTATAGATGTGTTACATGTTGTGTTACATAGAATATTATTGAAGCCTGGGATGGTGGCACACACCTGTAATCCAGCACTTGGGAGATGCAGGCAGGAAGATCAAAAGTTCAAAGCCACCTTGGCTGCTTAGCAAGCTCAAGGCCACCTTAGCTACACAAGACCCTGTCTGAAAACAAGCAAAATAGCCTAACATGGAACGAGAAAAAAGCCTAAAGAGTGGGACGGAGTATTGATCACATCTGTGACAAGGATATAATTAAATCTATAGTGTATCAAGTTGGTACCACTCAGTCATATAAAGACAACCCAGCCCATTTTATTTTCTTAATTGAAAATAATTTTTATATAATATATTCTGATTGCAGTTTTCAGTCCCTCAGCTCCTCCTGGATCCCCACCCCCCACCCATCCAGCTCCTAGCCTTTTCCCCCTCTTTCTTTAGCTAACAAACAGCCCAAAAAGGAATAGTTAAAAAGAAAGAAAAAAAAGCACAAGAAATGTGAAAACATTGAGTTTGTTTTGTGTTGTCCATATGCTGCTGGGCATGGGGCGTACCTGTAGGTGTGACTTACATACCTAGTGAGACTCCGTTAGAGAAAATATTTCCTTGGCAAGCAGTTGTCAACTGCAGATAGCTTCTTGGTTAGATAAGAGCTCGTGTCCACTTCCCCTCTCAGCTTTGGGACCTCATCTGGCTTGGACCTGTGCAGGCCTGTGCACACTGCCACAGTCTCTGTGAGTTCATGTGTGCATCAGTCCTGTTGGATCTGGAAGACACTGTTCTGGAGGGATCATCTACCCCTCTGGATCTTAGTCTTCCCACCCCATCTTCTACACAGCTCCGTGACCTCTGAGGGAGAGTTTCATAAAGACATCTCATTTAGGACTGAGTGCTTTGAGGTCTCTGACTCTCTTCACATTGTCTGGTTTAGGTCTCTGTGTTCCCTTGCATTTCAGGAGAGAGCCTCTCTGACGATGACTGAGCAGGGCAATGACCTATGGGATAGCAAAATAAATGTTTTAAGTAGACAAAAGGCCAGCCCAAGGCTCTGGGAAGACCATAGCTCTCTCCTTTAGGTGTAGGTGTCCAGAACTTCATTTTCATGAACACCTGTCCCAATCCATGCCTGCCTCCTGGCTACTGTGACTGTGGGTCCTTACACTGTACCGAGCCTAGTACAGTCCCCTGATTATTGCCTCCAGGAGCTAAGACAGAAATGGCAAGAAGTGCCTCATCTGTGTGTTTCTGCTACTTCCACTCAACACCCCAATGCAGAAAAACAAACAAATAAACACAACAGCACCAACAGAACAGCTTAGATCTGGCCCCGAGACTTCCACATTTTATCTTTTCTTCCTTTGGGGTGGGCTTTCTCCTTTCTCACCCACAATCTTTCAGTTCCCCCCCACACAGCAAAGTCTACCTTCTACCCTAGCTGAAATGATGTGTCTGCACCTTCCCTTAAATTCTCTTTCAGAATCAAGCCCTGCCCACAGCAAACAACCTTCCTGTTCCAGTCCCCACTCACCTACATCCAGTTTCCACTCCCTAACACAGTCTCACCAGAATCAACTTCTGGAGAACCCAAGCCAAGAACCACCTTGGCCTCTAAATGCTCTTTCTCCTTCTTTCGTGTGTGTTGTTCGGCAGTGCTGGGATTGAACTTATGTTCTCTCATGTGCTAGGCAAGTATCATACTACCAGATAGACACATCCCCACTTTATTTTTCTTTTGAGACAGAGTCTCTCTAGTAGCCCAGGCTGACGTTGAATTCAGTCTGTAGCCCATGCAGGCCTTGAACTCACTCTGTAGCCCAGGCTGGCTTTGAACTTCTGCTTTTCCTGCCTCAGCCTCTTGAGTAACTGATGTTTCAGCCCTGCGCCCACTATATCTGGATTGTTTTTCCTATATAAAGGAGCATGTAGCTGAACACTGTCATGATACCTGTTATCTCAAACACTGGAGAGTAAAGGCTGAAAGATCACAAGTTAAAGGTTCTACTTGGCAACAAAGTAACTTTGAGGCTGGTCTGAGCTGTGTGAGACAAAGCCTCTGAAATAAAAATTGAAAACAAAATGAGTTTATTGTGAGCGTTCACATGCAACAAAACGAGCTCGCTCAATTAGGCAAATAACTCCGTGGTTGTGGATGAGGATAGAGGTGCAGTCAGGGTCCTGGCACTGTAAATATATCTACCTCTACCTCTACCTCTGCCTCTGCCTCTGCCTCTGCCTCTGCCTCTGCCTCTACGCTCTACCCTCTACCCTCTACCTTCTACCTCTACCTCTGCCTCTACCCTCTACCTCTACCTCTACCTCTACCCTCTACCCTCTACCTCTACCCTCTACCTCTACCCTCTACCTCTACCTCTACCCTCTACCCTCTACCCTCTACCTCTACCTCTACCTCTACCCTCTACCCTCTACCTCTACCCTCTACCCTCTACCTCTACCTCTACCCTCTACCTCTACCCTCTACCTCTACCTCTATCTCTACCCTCTACCTCATTTATATCTGAGTTGTAGAAAATATTATCACAATATAATTTACAACATTTATGTCACCCAAAAGAACTCCTGTGCCTGTGAATACTCTCCACACACCTATGCCTGTGTGTACTCTCCACACCTGTGCTCTGTGCCTGTGTGTACTCTCCACACACCTGTGCCTGTGTGTACTCTCCACACCTGTGCTCTGTGCCTGTGTGTACTCTCCACACCTATGTCTGTGCTTGTGTGTATTCTCCACACCTGTGTCTGTGCCTGTGTGTACTCTCCAAACCTGTGCTCTGTGCTTGTGTGTATTCTCCACACCTGTGTCTGTGCCTGTGCGTACTCTCCACACCTGTGCTCTGTGGCTGTGTGTACTCTCCACACATGTGCTCTGTGCCTGTGTGTACTCTCCACACATGTGCTCTGTGCCTG